TATGAGGGTAGGAAAGTGTGTGGCAAAGTAAGTTCGTTAAGTAAAAATGATCAATTTCTACGCATCAGGCGTAATGGGCTATATTTTATAGACTGCTCGACTGTCGGTGTCAAAATCACGTTGACCACCTTTACTTCCCTGGAATTTACTAGGTACCCATTTAAACCTGGATGGAGCTGGAAGCAAAAATCCTTTCTGACAAAAGTCAGGATCTGAACCCACGACCGTTGGATCTGCAGGCGAGCGTCCAGCCGCTGCACCACGGCGTCTCCCTGTGTGTGTAAGGTGTCCTAGCAAACACAAACCTACCTTTGGTGTCAGTGGACGATTAATCCCGGTCAGTGACCCGGACCGTGTCTTTGCCCGCGAACCAGCAGACAGCCGTTTGACCTTGCTGGGACTACCAATGTGTGGCAGGCTGGAGGATCTACGGATGTTGGATGCCGTGGGTCGTCTGGTAGGTCGGGGAGTCAGTGCTGGCATTGTGTACTGTACCGACAACTTCAGATTTCAAAAGGTGTGTCTCCAAGCGGTCCAGATACCCAACCACTAGCTCCACAATTAAAACTGCGTTCACTTATAAAATCTCAAAGAAAATCGAAACTGCCAGCGAAGAAGGGGGGAAACGTCACACACCCATTGTTGTATTACGCTACTCTTTTTAAATAACGTGTTCAGAGAGGTCACTTTAACACAACAGCAGATTCGACGGCCGCTTTAAAACACGCTAATCCAACAGTGAGTTGGTATAATCTAGAATAGCAGGAACTAATCGGCTGTGCCAAGGAACTAATCCGCTGTGCCCAGGAATTAATCCGCTGTGCCCACAACTTTCATATTTTTCTTCTTCTTGTCCTAAACGAGCTGCACAATGAACTGGCCACGAATTGCTTATTCCTGCATTGTAAAGTTATCACACTCAGCCTATGTGGCTTAGGCGTTGCGAACGAGCCTCGTAATTCCCCTACCGCGGCCGATTTGGCATCATAATGCCTTGCGTTGGTTTCGACAGTGGTATCCGACCGCTAAGTAGCAATGGCAAACTACCGAACGTCAAAACTGCCTTGTGAAATCACAAACAGCCTAACAGAATGTTGGAGTCGATTCTTCAACGCCCTGTAAAGGATACGCAACTAACTTTAGAATAGTTCTGTCCCATTCAGATGCACGTTAACTGCTCACTGTATCGACAATGCTATATGTATTTAGTTTTACCGAACGGCTGTTAATTACATCTGGTTTAGAAAATAGACACGGTGTTCATACATGCACGAATTCAGGCTCGATATCATATCACATACAGCCAAGCAGACCAGACCCCTCGCTTTCGACGGGACATGTGGAGACACGTGATAGCTGACAGACGACCTCAGAGACAATCTAGATCGGGCATGGCACAACTTCTTAACTGGACTATCAACGTCAAGTCATATTTGCTTTCAGAAGAAGAAATAAAGATCATAGTTACCTCCTATGTGCAATATTACCTGAATGACTCTGTAATTATTACTCTGTTTTTGTTGGTACAGATCAATAGTGGTCAATGTTTTTATAGATTTGAGGGCTACTTTTCTTTTTAGAAACTAATGGCAGTCTACTTTATAGAGGGAAGCCGAGGTTACGTAGTGGCTTGGCGGTCACCTTCAGGCCCGAACGACGGTCATGGGTAAGAATTCACTTTGAGTGGTAAGAATTCACTTTGAGTTCATCACACTCACTCTGAGTGGTAAGAATTCGCGTTGAGTGGTAATAATTCGCTTTAAGTGCATCATATTCACTTTGAGTGGTAGGAATTCGCTTTGGGTGGTAATAATTCACTTCAAGTGCATCACATTCACTTTGAGTGGTAGGAATTCGCTTTGAGTGGATCTGACACTTTGAGTGTCGTGAATTCGCTTTAGGCGTAATGGAAGTTCCCCCCCCCCTCCCCCTTAAGAACTGATCTTGGCTCCAAGGGCGACCAAGTAGACGGCAGCTGACGCATTACTCACCCCTGACACAGATTCAGTGGGGTCATTGTCCTAATGGTATATATATCTCAAGTGCAAGTGACCAGTCTCCAGTAGCGCCGCAAACTCTCCCCTCTGCTTGATTCTCTCCAGGTAAGGGGTCTCAGTACCTTCCATTTTACCTATTACCTCGTCCTAAATGCGAGAGATCACCTCTGCCTAGTGTAGCTGCAGTACGGCCCTAAAGTGGGGCCAATCCAGCCAGCCTATCTGCCTGTTCGTTCCAGAAGACGCCTACAGACCAGTGCAAAATTTGCATGTGACTCTCACCACCTGCGACCTCTGGATTGATGCGTATATTTTCAAGAATTACGAAGAAACGTATGGTAAGTTGCTTGGTACTAACAGAGTAAATACTGTAATATCAGGTTTTCTGACTACTCGGAGAAGTTGATTCCTGTGCCGTCCGCTGAAATAACCCAGCATTTAACGAGCTAGTTTCAAGAGTGTTGGGAATAGCTTTAGTGGTGCCAGGCCTGATGTAAACTATAGACGGCCGTGCATGTCAGCAACTCACAATGCTCGTTGGTACAATTACTAGTCAGTGTGAGCCGATAAGACGCCAAAGTTGTCACATGATATTCAGAACTCACGCCCCCCAAGAGATCACTCAGACAGAACAATTTCCGTGTTCTATTTTGTTCCCCTCCTTTGTATCTCTGGGTTTACACTAAGGCAGTCCAACCTTTGGTTGGTTGGTTTTCATTTCCTTTGCTACTTCCATTGTTCTCCCTATATCATAGAGAGTTCTAACATTCCAGGTGACAATTCTGGAGGTTTTCCTAGCTGAGAGGAGATACGTCAACGATCCGGACTCCTTACGGCTTTCTCCACACCGTGTCATACTTCTTCTATTTGAAGAGCCTCCCCTCATCTTGGTTGGCTGGATTTTACTCATTCTCTTTTTGACTTATCCATGATTGGTTGGTTTTTGATAGAATAACTAGTGTAGAACTTTGGGAGAGAACTAAACAGCCTCCAGTGGACCAAGAGGTGAGGAAAAGACGCTGGCGTTGGATAGGACACACACTGAGAAAACAAGAGAACAGCATAACTAGAATGTCTTTGCATTGGAACCCACAGGGGCATAGGAATAAAGGAAGGCCAAAAAGCAAATGAAGAAGAGAGCTGGAAAATGAAGTTAGAAAGATGTGGAGGACATGGGAAGAGCTCCATGCAATGGTGAAGGATAGAACGACTTGGCGTGAGTTGGTTGAGGGCCTATGCTCCATTGGGGGATAGAAAGGCAGAAGAGAGAATCCAACCTTTCTGACCTGTGGAGCCTTGTTTAGAATTAATGTCTGCGGCTGAGCATCCTTAAGCTTACCGTATCCCATGTCTTACAAGTTAACGGTGTTTAAAAACAAAGTTGCGGGCGGAGTAAGAAGAATTTGTATAGTAAGGGAGTGTGACATAAAAAGATCTCTAAACAACTGTGCAATGTCCGCCCAATAAAACTTAATTTACAAACTGTGAAACTGACCATATTAGAGTATTTATTCTCAACAACCGTCAAAACACATGCTACTGGAAAAGACTGCATATAGATTGCATATACCACATTATAACAGCTGGGACATATTACCTTTTGCACGATTTAACACGATTCCTCTAATGCCTGGGATTATAATTGTAAGAGAACAATCACTCATTCACATTTTACAATTCAATCAAGGCCCACCCTTTGACTTGTCAAATCATTTCGTTTAACTAAAACAGTAGTTTTCAGCCCTTTTCAGGCGGCGCCCCGACTAAATAAGACCCCATGCTCCCGTTTTAAAAATGTAATTAAAACTAGGACCCCCCAAAAAAAATCACAAACACCATTAACAAAAACTTGGAGAAATCATCCACATAAATAAAAGTGTCAAAAACAAAAACATAAACAACTGGTAATGTAGTGTCTCAATATCAATGTGATAGGTTGACACTGTTCTGACTTGATGACATCTGCTATTTTTTGGTCAGATGTTGGACACGACACAACGGAGAACACTCCTTCATATCAAGCAGGTACTGTTGTTTTGTTTTTATGAATGTTAATTTTCTATTTGTAGTTAAATGGACAAAAATGTTAGTATAAAACCACTGATCTAATAAAACCTTCTGAGTTGTCTATTCCTGTTAGCCTAACGACCATGAGCGTTACATTAAAGCCTGAAAACCGGTTTTCCCATTAGACATGTACAATCAACAAATATTATGTCCATACGTTCCTAAGAGAAATCATTCCGAGTGGGGTTAGGAACCGATACCACAACACTCAGGGCATTTCCATACACGCCCAGTCTTCATCTTCAGCAACCTGCCCAGAATTCTAATTCCGATGGTAAGTCTCACTGTATGTCCGCGTTGCCTGTCTCCCGAGTGCTGGTCAGATCTCCTGGTCACTTCCCGCTGCACCATCCTCTTCAGACCGCGGTGATCAGATCGTGCTTCCCTGTTGTGCACATGCTCCCAAAGGGCCTTGACCACATGTAGCTTGGCGTGCATCGATTTAACAAATAGTTCTTTCTCTGAACCTCAAGCAACGTCCCCTTTATAGAGATACGGGATTAAAAGAGCAATTTATCTATTACTACCAACAAGTTAGCTGCATATCCTTTATTTACGAGACGCTGTGAACCAACCCTGGCATTTGTTGGACAGTGCTTTTACTGGTGGCTCTACCAGGTAATTTTACTTTCAGCAATATTTCATGGTAAATAGTCTTTGGAATATTACATGGTGAATACTCATTTGGCATATTACATGGTGAATACTCGTTGGGAATATTACAGTTATGTTCCAATCTGTCCCCTTCATTTAAGCATCCTAGTTATTTTTAAGCCAATGAGACTAAATGATTTGCAGAAATCAGATGTGTTAGACTGACAGATGTAGACAGCACAGCTTAGCTGTAAACCACAATACGACAACCGCTCTTGCGAGGGTGATCACAAAGAAAAGAGTAGTATTGTTAGATGACTATCATTACAACAACGAACTTACCTCTTCAAATGCTTGACCTGCCTCTGCAGCAGGGGACATGTCCTTCATATTTTTGATTCTAGGCAGAGTTTGTGAGCTGGAGACCAAATGTTTGCTGCAGTAAAAAAAAAAAATACATTGATCATTTTAGTCTTCGTTTCTTATCTTTATTCTGACCCCACCCCCACTCCATTTTCTCCCATTCCCACTCCTATTTTTCACACCACCACTCTATATCTCTTCCTTTTATTCTTTCTACACTGTGTACACTTTACAAATTACCCAGTCTTATGCAGTTTAATTATCTATGTCTTCATGCTATTATGTTCCAATTATGGGATTATCTTTTCTGTCATACTGATAAGTGGGAGCCATGCTGGTATAGCTGCTAGACGCTCCGTCTGCTGGCCCAAAGGTCCTGGGTTAAAATCTGCATTAAGACAATCTTTTCGGGTGGCCTAGGCTTCCAGGTCAACGAAGTTTAAATGAATCTTTGTGCCATGTATTGGATGACAATTGACCACACATTACAGACTTTCAAAAATGCATAGGTTCAACACTAACAACGAGAACAACAACAAATGACAAGGCCCAGCCAGAGGGCAAACAGAGAGAATGGAGTATAAGAGACAAACATGTTTACACAACACAGGTGAATTGGATGCTGTATGGGTTCCGGGACCCTATTATAGAAAAAACAAAACAAGAATAGATCCACTGCCTACCCAAAAGCATATTGTAAGAGTCGACTAATTGTAAGCTTCCTTTGAAGTCAGAGTGCAAATACCTGAGAGCCAAGGAACCAACAGTCTGCACACAAATGAGTAAGATCTGTCAAACAAATGCACACTCAACACTCAGGTTCTGAAACAGGACTGAAGTCCAGAAGTGGACGAACAACCAGAACCTTCCATCGGATTTTACAGCCGGTGAATGCAAAGAAGAAGAAGTTGAATTGGAGTAGACCATAAGGCAGAGTAACAAGATTGTAAGATTGTGGAAAGATAACATAGAGGCAGACCAACAAGATGTCGAAGAGATAATATACAGGCAGACCCACAAACACTTTGAATCACCTACTGGAAAGAGCAGGGGCCAATCAGAGATGAATATGAATGGAGAGAAGTGATATCTGCAGCAAAGAACACCATTCATAGGTTGTTGGTATGATGAGGGGAATGTTGAATTAGGAATCAACATCATAGTACTTGTGACACTATCATAAGTGCTCTGTCGTTATCTTCAGCAGCAAGCGAAGAGTTCCAATTACGATTGTATTCACTGACCGTATATCCATCTCGCCTTTCCCATGAAAGTTGAGGATCAGCCAGATACCCTGGTAACTCAATACAGCACCATTTTCCTCAGCTGGTAATGATTTATTTGCGCCTCTGCACTGTTTACTCGCTCCCAAAGGGCCCTCAGAATATCTAGCTTATCACACAAGAAATTCACCCCCAAGTGGTGCAGAACCAGCCAGTCTATCTGCCTGCTCATTTTCCAACACATTAGCATACTCTGAAGAAAATACCCAAAGGACACTAGCTACCGTGGGTCTCTGAAATGATGCTTGCCACTCTGCACAAAGTATGCCTGTCTCCAACTTTCTCGACAATATGATGAGGAGAAAGAAGAGGAAATCTGTGTGAGAGATATGTGAATGGGGCATCTTGATTTACAGCACACATATTGATATATGAGTGTGTACATAAAACAGCAGAATAAGGTCAGTCTTCTTCTTAGGTTTATCAGCTGTAAACTCCCATGGAAAGTTCTAGTTGTTCGTCCACTTCTGGACTTTAGTCTTGTTCTAGAACTTGACTTTTGCGTACAATCCCATTTTACAGATCTGGCTTATCTGTATGCAGACTGTTGGTTCCTAGCTGATCAGGCAGAAGCATTCTGACTTCCAGGATAACCCCCCTAATTATTAGACTTTTGCGACATGCTGGGGGGACCCCGCCCCCCAACATACAAAGCAGCCCTGGAACCCACACTGGCTCAGGGGACAGTATTAATCATACAATGATTTGTAAATATACTTACTCTTGTGAATGCCCGTGTTTGCCAGCTATGTTTTCCAGACTGAGCAAAGCCAAATCTCTTTCATTTTTCACTTGTTCCAACTGTCTTATGACCTGGTCCCGCTCTTCTTGAGCCTTGGCATTCTCACGGAGAACTGCATCTCTTTCCTTGAGAGCGATTTCAAAGCCCAGTTGCAGAGCTTGTGTGGGTGGGTTCTCTTCCTCGTTTTCTGTCAAAACAAAAACAAAAGATAAGACTGAATTACAGATGGATTATTCCAGAGTTGAAGACTTCCTAAACGCGAGGAAAGGTGCCGGTAATCCCTAGAATAAAGTTATAAAGTCGATAGGAGGACTTAACAGCATACGGTTATCACATATGATTTGGTGTCACTCCGCAAAACAGTTAGCTGCCTGTCTACAGCGTTGCACAAAGCATGAACTCCATAGTTCAAGCGACGATACCTAGGGATCTCTGCAAACACAGCACTCGTTAACCCAGGACATTCAAATCACCAGACAAACAGCTTGGCCACCTTGTAAAGGCCCATGTTTCTATGAATGCTGGAGTCAAAATCCAGCACTGTTAAAATGTAGGAAGTAGTGGATATGCCCTTTTTATTATCCAGTCTTTCAAATGCGACCGAACATACCCAAGTAATCAGCAATGAATGTGTGTGTGTTTTTTTTTTTCTCCTCCTCCTCCTCCTCCTCCAGTAGGGTATAAATGATGCAAGATTGATACTGTTATAGATCCAATGGGCACTCGATGTGTCCAGCGGTCAACATTATGCCGACCACCTGAATTGTGTATGTCATTACCTGAGGCTGGGTCGACCTGGGAGCCAAAGTCAATTGTGTAGAGGGGAAAAAATTCGAACCCAAGATCTCTGTGCCAGGAGGCGAGCGTCTAGCTCTTACACGCGGTTTCCGGCAGATGATACTGCTTTTCTTCTCCATAAAGTCCATGCTGTGTGTGCTGGTAGTAATGTCTATCCACACCCTTCTGTCTCGTGTACTTTCAATAAACTCTGATACAAATGATCCGCAATGACATGATGTCAAACTGTCCAGCATCTGTTCTCTCTGTCTCCCTCTGCCTCTCCTCATCTTCAACTTTCCTGCTGTCACAATGCACTCCAGTTTTCTCCTTCACATCACATGACCAAAGAATGTAGACTGTCTCTTTCTGATGTGGGCAATCAGTTCTCTTCGTGAGTCAGTTTCTTTCAAGACGATTTCATTGCTCGTTACTCTTTTTGTCTGTCCAGGGTATTCTCATCATTCTTCTAGAAAACCACATCTCCACGGCTTCCAAACAAGTTGTCATTAATTTGCCAACTGTCCATGATTCATTTCCGTATATCCCCCGTGTGGGCTCCGGGGCCCTATTGTGGGGAAAACAAGAATAGACCCACTGCCTCCCCAAAAGCATGTCGTAAGAATCGACTAACTGGGGATCTTCCTTTGAAGTCGGAGTGCATCTGCCTGAGAGGCAAGGAACCAGCAGTCTACATTCAATTTAATCAGATCTGTAAAACTGATGCACACGCAACGCTCAGGTTCTGGAGAAGGACTGCAGTCCAGAAGTGGACGAACAACCAGAACTTTACGCCAGAGTGTACAGCGGTGAACGCGAAGAAGAAGAAGAAGATAAATCCTTCATTTTGTCAAATTCTGTATTTGCTTGAGCTATTCTACATTTTTCTTCTTTAATACATCTATCTGATGTTATCGTGGTACCCAGGTACTTAAATATATTAACTTGCTTGAGGTTTGTCCCATTTAATGTGATGTTACATTTGCTTACATGAAACATTTTTCATGGTTATATGCAGACGACTGTGATTTTTTTCCCCCATGGTTTCTCAGAAAGCCCGCCCACATCTCCCCTGAACATTTCTGGGCACGACAACCAGCTAAAAAACGGAAGTTACCGTGACAGGAAAGGTTACACTCGGTCAAATGTGTGTGAACTGTTTGTTTGTTTTAGTATCCAGAAGCCATGAGTTGTTAACCCTTAGGCTCGGTATTATGGATATCGCAACCATTCGGCCTTGATTCCATTTTAAATACCGTAAATCTGGGAGAAATGTGGCTTTTCTGCCCACTCACGGGAGTGAACCCGGACCACAAGGAGTTCGTCACCCGCTCACCGCGCAATCCGGTTTAGCCAACTACGGAGAGACGGGCAATGTACGTGAATAAATGTGTAAATCTGGTCTTAAAGACTAGTAGCTAGATTCTACACGCTAAAGACCCCAAACTGACCTAACTGTTCACAAACTACCTTCCATTTATCAGAAAGGTTAAGTTTCGTATTTTGCTGTTTATGTCTCAATGCCGACCTTCTAGAACCATGGGCGTGCGCCTGTTACAAAATATAAGCAGCAGCGGTTAAGAACGCTGGAATCCCGGTTAAGAACGCTGGAATCCCATGCGGAAGACCTAGGTTCGAATCCTCCGATAGGTAGTAAATTTTTCTGCATGGGGCACACACGAAAAACATAATTACCTGGCGCAGTCAGTGGCGACAGCGCTAGTCATGCGGTCCTAAATCTTCAGGCTATATATATATATATATATATATATATATATATATATATATATATATATATATATATATATATATATACACACACACACACAACCTTGGCTGGCAAAGATAACATAAATATATTTATATTGAAATTACACTGGGGGTGGGGCGTGTAGACTTTTATAATCTGCTGTGTGGGTGAGCTCAAAGGGCTTTATCTCCAGGCTCCGACACCTAAGGATGTCGCGTAATACATTAGTTTGTAATTATTATTTTTTTTTTAATTTACAGCTGCAAAAGTCAACGAAGCATGAATAATTTATAATAACCTGCCATGACCTGGCTGGGGGCATATGCTCTGTTGAGAGGAGCAAGAGAAAAAGACGAGAAGTGGCCAATAAAAAAAACTACAACGTAGACAGGGAGCGGGATGAAGCGTTACCCTATAACTGAAGCTAGACCTGAGTAAAGGGCGTATTCTGGGGGTGACTACAATGAAGCTGATGACAACAAGTGCTCATTGCAACACAACATGCGACCAGACGTGAAGGACATTAATCTGCCCTAGACAAGACCTGACACATCTGGTTCACTCAGATACAAGAGTTGCGGATATTACATAAAATTTAGCACGAGCGTCAACAGTGTCACGGGCGCCACGCGTATTTTCTAGGGCACAAGCGCCTGGTACATTGACTTAGCTTCTATATTCACAATATGTGTACACTGTCTTAGCTTCTACATTCACAATATGTGTACAATGTCTTAGCTTCTACATTCACAATATGTGTAAACTGTCTTAGCTTCTGCATTCACAATATGTGTACACTGTCTTAACTTCAACATTCGCAATATGTGTACACTGACTTAGCTTCTACATTTACAATATGTGTACACTGTCTTAAGCAGCTGCTGGGAGACTCTTCCAGGCCATAAACCGAGGGTTTCTTAGCAAAAGAGAAATTGGCAAGAGGACGAAAATGGCTGTTTACCGCTCTACCTATGTACCAGTCCTGACCTATGGGTGTGAGTCATGGGCAATGACAACAGCTCACAGAAGCCAGCTGCAGGCCTCGGAAATGAGATACCTGAGAAAGGTGGTCCAAGTGACAAGAAGGGACAAAGTCCGCAATCAGACAATACGTCAAGATCTTGATACCCAGCCCTTACTAACCCGAGTAGATCAGTCACAGTTACGATGGTTTGGACATGTATGCAGAATGGGAGAAAATCGGCCACCATGGCAAGCATGAGAGGCTAAGAACCAGGGAACCAGACCTCCGGGACGACCCAGGGTGCGCTGGGAAGACAACATCCGATAGTCCCTAACTGACAGAGGACTGGAATGGAACAAAGCCAGAAAGAGAACTGCTGATAGAGACGTCTGGCGATCTCTCTGGCAAACCTCTACACCCCAAGGTAGAAGAGGAGCGACTAAGTAAAGTAAAGTACACTGTCTTCGCTTCTACATTCACAATACGTGTACATTGTATTAGCTTCTACATTCACAATATGTGTACACTGTCTTAGCTTCTACATTCACAATATGTGTACACTGTCTTAGCTTCTACATTCACAATATGTGTACACTGTCTTAGCTTCTACATTCACAATATGTGTACATTGTCTTAGCTTCTACATTCACAATATGTGTACACTGTCTTAGCTTCTACATTCACAATATGTGTACACTGTCTTAGCTTCTACATTCACAATATGTGTACACTGTCTTAGCTTCTACATTCACAATATGTGTACACTGTCTTAGCTTCAACATTCACAATATGTGTACATTGTCTTAGCTTCTACAATCACAATATGTGTACACTGTCTTAGCTTCTACATTCACAATATGTGAACACTGTGTTATCTTCTGCATTCACAATATGTGTACACTGTGTTAGCTTCAACATTCACAATAGGTGTACACTGTGTTAGCTTCAACATTCACAATATGTGTACACTCTTAGATTTAACATTCACAATACGTGTACATTGTGTTAGCTTCTACATTCACAAAACGTGTACATTGTATTAGCTTCTACATTCACAATATGTGTACGCCGTGTTAGCTTCTACATTATGTTGCGTGTACGTAGACTTAGATTCTACATCACGATGTGTACGCAGACTTAGGTTTTATATTACAGTGTGTGCAGCTTTTGCATCACATAGTGGGTACGTTCTCTTAGCTTCTACGACACAGTGTGTGAACTTTGTCTTAGCCTCAACATCACATTGCGTGTACGTTGTCTTAGCTTCTACATCACATTGTGTGTACGCTGCTTTGCACCTATGTTACACTGTATATACGATGTCTTAAGTTCTACATCACATTGTGTGTACGATGTCTTAAGTTCTACATCACATTGTGTGTACGCTGCTTTGCACCTATGTTACACTGTTTATACGATGTCTTAAGTTCTACATCACATTGTGTGTACGATGTCTTAAGTTCTACATCACATTGTGTGTACGATGTCTTAAGTTCTACATCACATTGTGTGTACGATGTCTTAAGTTCTACATCACATTGTGTGTACGATGTCTGAGCTTCTAAATTCACATTGTGTGTACGATGTCTTAATTTTTACATCACATTGTGTGTACGATGTCTGAGCTTCTAAATTCACATTATGTGTACGATGTCTGAGCTTTTATGTCACATTGTGTGTACGATGTCTGAGCTTC